CCAGGGCTCTTTCTGACCCTGGGTCACAGACTCATCTCGTCCACGTGTGTAGTTCCGGACCAGAGGCCGCGTTCCTTCTTGCGTGCTTGCTCAGGACTGGCATCTTCTCCCTGGCTGCCTCTGCCACACAACTTGGGGAAGACAGAAGGCAGAGAATGTCTCCTCCAACATGAACAACTTCCTTACAGTAAGTTGACCCTACTGTCGTAGGCAGTGAGCAGTCCCCCAGGACTGCACGTGTGAGTGGGAACAAGATGCTGAGCGGCCCCTAAAAGAGAGTCTTCCAGCTGTCAGATGCGACAGGGTGGGTTCCGGGGCTCACCGGGACGTGAGAACGCAGAGATGGGGCCAGAAACCCGTTCCCACCCTGTCCACATACACACGGCTGCACGGTGGCCCTCTGTCCCCACCCCCTTCTGAGCAGAAGGAGGGCATCTGTGTCTGCGGCTGGCACCTGCCGGCCCTCAGGGTGGGGCGGGGACAGGGCGGAAGGGTGGAGGGAGGCACCCCCTGGCCTGAAGGTCAGGCTGCTGGGCGCTGTGCTTCCTACCCCCACACTCCTGGGGGATCTGCCTCACCTGAGAAATTCGAAACCAATTTAAGTAAGAAACTGAGGGGCCTCGCTGATCATAACCCACAGTGAAACTTACACCATCTGAGAACAGGCCCCTCGAACTCCCGTATTCCAGCCTGGGCTCCGTCCTGACCCTTCCTCTTGCCAACAGTGGTGCCCGTGCTTCTGAGCAAACCTCCCCTCCGCTCTCCCCTGCCCCCGCTTGGGAGTGTGATGGTATCACACCGTCCCCCTGCTTGAGGCAAGCAGAGACTGACCCTGGGCTTATTATTTTTTCCAAGTGTTTCCTAGGAGTCGCAGACATAGGTTAACTTACCCATGGCCCCCCTCCTCTCCTCTCGCAGGCGGAAGGGGGGCTGCAGTGAGGGGTGAGGGCCCCGACAGGTGCCTCGTCCTGTCTGCACAGCCACCATCAGGAAGAGTCTCAGTCTTAGGTTTCGGCACTCCCAAGGCCACTCAGTCCCTCCTTCTCAGAAAAGTCTATCTTCTGGAAATCACCAGTTTCTTCCTCAATATTTTCATGACCTCATTTAATAAAAGAGCAGTTTTCACGGGCCTTCTCGGGGTCATGCCCACTTTCTGCTGTCGTGTTCTTTAACTGCCAGCTGTTTTCCCATCATTGTCTTTGGGGATGAAGCCGGTCTCTGGCTTGTCCTGTAAAGTTCTCTATCTCCGAGGTATTTCCTGCTCACTGCTTCTGGCTGGCCCAAGTGCATGGTCTCTAGACTTGCTTCTGTGTGTCTGTTTTCGAAAGCTCTTAATTTGCAAAGTGCTTTCTACAAATTTTAAAGAGGCAGTGGAAGTACAAGACGACGTATGGATGGCATTTTTTAAAAGTCGGGATGTTCTATTTTTTTGGTTATTTCACTCCAGCCTGTAACTTATGCCCCTCCTGTTCTGTGCTCTCTGCATCCGGGGGTTTCCCTTGCTGCCTGGGGCTGGACTGGAGCATATGTCCCCTCTGGAAACCCCGCTCGCTCTCTTTCTTGCCTTTCCCTCTTCGGGCGGCTCTAGCCCAAGGAATTCTGTATAACACAGAAATATCTCCTTTCTATAATGGCTCTTCAGCCCTGCGTTTTTCAAATTACGGGTTGTGACCCTTTATTAGAGGATCTGTCACACTCACATAAGAAAAATAGACTGGATCTCTTCACACGCAGGAAGGGTGAAACCGTCATTTCGGTTGTGTGCGTACATGCATGTCATGACGTCTGGGACAGGAGAGAAAACGCGTGTCCTTTAGTCAAACATGTCCCTGCTGGGTTTCAACATCCTGCTAAACTTTCATGGAAGAGAAACCAGTTATAGTCTTTCTCCAGTAAAATGGTCTGATGCTGTGGGAAAATTGTCACAAGGCAAGGCAGAGCCCCCAGGAGTCCTGTTGAAGATGTTCCTGAGTGGGCAGCAGTCACGGTGGGCTGCCTCTGAGTGGTTCCTGCCATCTCCGGAGGGTATGTGTCTGTCACTCCTACTCATTGTTCAGCGCTCAGCTCAGACGGTCCTTCCCCGGGGAAGCCTTCCCTGCCCTCCCTCCCCCGTCTGCATCAGTTTCCTCTGTTAGATGCCACCACAGAACTACATTTCCTGCCTTCAGAGCACGTGGCCTAGTTTTTAACGACACATTAATCAGGATGGTCATTGTATGGTCTGTCTCCCTCCATCTTCTAGAACATGACCTCCACGGAACAGGTCTAGTTTTGTTCATTCAGGAGCCACTGCCAGGCCTAGCATATAGTCCACACCCTAGTACAAACCAGTGGCCTCGGGCCACGTCCCCGCCCCAGTGACTGACATCTGGCATCCCATAAAACCCTCTGCTGTACTCGAGTCTTTTCCAGAAAGTGGGCGGGGGTCTCATAGCCCAAGATGTGCAGATGGGATCGAAGCCCCAGGAGCTCCTCAGAGGCCTTGGCCCTTGGCCACTGCTCTTTCCGCACACAGACCCACCCCGACCGAGAGTGAGCGGACCTCCTGCTTACTGTCCCCAGTGCTGCCGGTGAGGCTCACGTAGAGCGTAACCATTAGCGACGGAACATCTCTTGGGTGACGGTCTCTTCTCTGGCTGTGGGTGGGGGGCCCCACAGTTCCCGGTTCCATCGTGCAAACTCGTTGTCGCAGTAAAGGGTATTCAGGCCAGTAAGCATTGGTGGGAACCAACTCACTGAGGTTCCACAGTATGTGTCACAGGTATGGATTCTAGCTGAGGCTCTGATTTCAGTTAGTCTGAGCACAGGTCGGGGTTTTTTCCTCCTCTGTCCCCAAGAGTCTATGAGGCAGAAGGCAGAAAGGTGGGGAGAGAGGAGGACCGGTAAGTATTTCTAGGGTTGCCTTAGTGTGCAAAACATGTTTCCCCAAGAAAATGTTTGGGAAACATTTTATTTTAGGTGGGAGAAAATGCTGCCGCTCTGGCTGGCTCCCGCGACCAGACATTTATCAGGGGCGTGGCCTTGCCGTAGCCAGAACGCTCGTGAGTCATGAAACTGCTTTTCCATTTGAGAGATTGGACCTCTGTGACCCCAGCCATCATTTCCACGGCAACCAGCTGCGATGAGATGGGGGTTTTGACCTCGCAGGACAGTTGGAACAAGAAGCAGATGAGCTTTTGGATGGGAAATTTATTCTGTGGCCTTGAACAGATCTGTAAGTGAATCTCAGTTTCCTCATCACTGACACAGAGAAAGGAACCCGTCGTCCTTTTGACTGTGCGTGGAGAGATCGTGTTGGAAAAGCATGTGTGCAGGTATTGTCGATCTTACCTAACCAGCCCCACCAACGCTTGTCGTGGGGCAGAAGGACGATCGCCTGCACCCAGGGGTCTGTCCCGGGTCACTGTCAGCAGGCCTGCTGTCACCTCTCTGACCAGCACCTCACTCTGTTAAACCGGCGTCCTGGCTGGTCCAGGATAGGTGAGCTCACTGCCGCCCCTGGGCCTTTGCACTGCAGTTCCCTGAGCCTTTTACTGTGCTCTTCCCAGAGGGCTGTGTGGCACAGTCCCCCCCTTTGTCTGGGTGTCTGCTCAGAGTCACCGTATGAGAGAGCCCCATGAGACACCCCATATGAAATAGCAGCCCCAGAACAGTCGGCCCCTTCGTGCCTTTTCTTCACAGCTTCTGTGACCACCTGGAATGTCGTGAGCTTCATGAGGCAGGGTTGTTGTCATAGTTTTCTTTTCATTTCTTTCTTTTATTTATTTTTTTTGAGTTTGCTGCACATAATAGGCCATTAAGTCCTCCTGAAGAACCTTTTTTCATTGTTTTAAACGTACTTATCTTTAGGAAAGTATTTCAAAGAATAAAACACTTGACCACAATCCTGAAGGCAGCCTGCAGCAGCGGCCGTCTGAAGCCATAGTGGACATTGGGTCCTGAATTTTATCTTTGCTTTGAGTCTGTCTTTCCTTCCGCCTCTTTCCCTCAGAGTGCGGAGGCCGTCGCCTGCTTCTCCAGGTTCTGCCCTCATTGCGCCCAGGCTTGCCCAGGCCCACCCCGCCCCGCAGCGCTCCTGCTCCTAGATCCCAGGCTACCGCCAACATGGTCCCTATACCAGATCCCAGTCAAAGCGCCCCGCTCCACTGTCATGTTCCTGGAGAACCCGTGCTTGGCCTTGTGGGGCGGCGGCTGCATATCTGGCCGTGGGCCGGGCACTGCACATGCGGACGGGCCACCACGCCTCATTCCCTCTCGACGCGTGTGCTGGGTGGTGTAGGAATGGCTCTGTGTCCCCCTGGCTGGGTCAGACATGGCAACAGCTGCAAGAAGAATCCCTCAAGGCATCTCACCGAGGGGTGTTCGGACAGCCTGTGCTCGGGGGCGTCATTCTTGGTTTAAATGTTTATTTCTTTGGGACACCAGGGTGGTCCCATCCGTGAAAGCATCCAGTCTTGGTTTCAGCTCAGGTCCCGATCTCAGGGCCGTGAGATCGAGCCCCGCGTTGGGCTCCACACTGAGCACAGAGTCGGCTTGAGAGTCTCCCTCTGCCCCTGCCGTTGCGACTCATGTGCACGCACTCTGTGTGTCTCTCTCTCCCAAAATAAATTAATTAGTTAATTTGGACATTATCTCTTTCACCGTATGTGAGGTACGTTGGGGCATTACCGTAATCCCTGGAAAGGTGGGACAAGCAGATATAAATCTCCTCTGTCACAAAGTGTGCGCAACACCGTGCTTACTCAGGCTTTGGTTGGCACAGACTCTTGTTCGCGAGACCACACCTGAGGTCCACGTCTCTGACTTCCAGGTTGCACACTGTCCAGTGGACAGACATGGCGGTGCTCGCTTGGGCTGTTTTCAGCTCGTTTGCTGATGACGATTGCCAGGAGAGGAAGCCCTAGGCACTAATTCCTAAGGCTGCACTGTTCCCATGGTGCGTGCGGGCCCCCCCGGGCTCATTTCCCCTGGTCCCACACCCTCTGCTCTGCTCCTTGCAGGAAAAGTGCGGTGGCGGGACTTCAACCAGGAAGCTTACGTTGGAGGGACGATGGTCCGCTCTGGGCAGGACCCCTACGCCCGCAACAAATTCAACCAGGTGGAAAGTGATAAGCTGCGGATGGACAGAGCCATACCTGACACCAGACATGACCAGTAAGTACGGAGCTGGGAGTGGGCTGGGGGCCTCACTTGCTTTCTTCCCACAGCCCAGTAAGTAGCTTTCACTGGGCCATTCACATTTTCCCGTTCCTCTGGGCAGCTGACCGTGTGTTGTGCCTTCTACGGGTGGTGAAGCTGGAAAAGTTCTGGGGCATACGGCCATGGGACTTCACCCGCGGGAAGTGACAGGCCCATTTGGGATCAGATTCTAGGCTTTTGGATGGCCCGAGGCAGCATCTGGAGGCTGTGGGTTACTGGCCAGAGCGTGGGAGTCAGCAGGGGAAAGTTGTGTTCCTGCTGTCATGTCCACTCATCACTTGTCTTTTCTAAAATCTGTGCACACACAAGCATCATTTTCCATCATTCAGCAACTTCGTCGGCAGGAAGAAAATCTGAATTCTTGCTTATTAGGACAGTGTTAAGTCGGAAATGCTGTAGAGACTAGAAAAGGGAAAGAAACAGCCCAGCAGGGTAGGTGTGAGAGTGAGACAGGAGGCACAGGGTGACCTCTGACCACACCAGGAGCTCTCGTCTGCATCCTTCTCTTGATTCTTCGGAGATCTGGGAGTTGCGGGGGGAGGGCACCCCAGGGTTCATCAGGCTTCGCCGACGAGGTCTCCAGGCATCCTAACGTGTGTTCATCACCACTTACCAGCAAAGTGATATCCCTGGCCCTTGCTCTGACCTCCCAGCCTTGCTGGTAGGAAGCTCTGATTGGGAGGCTGTTCACACGGGCTTCGCTGGGGAATCATCTTGTTCCAGATAGTTAGAGAATAGGCAGCCGCATCGGAGGGCAGCTGTTTTCCTGGGGGCTGCTCACTGAGTGACTTGGGGAGTCCTCCCTCTGTCAGGGATGGCACGTCATGGATGTACATCTGTTGTGACTCGGACTCTGTGTCTGGGTCCTGGGACTCCAGCCAGAAAAGTCTTGTCCTGTCCTGGTTGGGGGGTGCGGGGTGTGGGAGATGACCGATGCACCAGGAAGCAGGGGGGTACAGCCCCCTGAGGCTTGGACAGTGTGTTGCAAATCAGTGCATTTGGGCCCCCTAGGAGGTAGGAAGGCCAGGAAAGACCCCAAGGAGGGACAGGTCCTGAGCTGGAGGCCTCTGGAAAGAAGGACAGGGAAGAGGCTGTGATAGCCCACCCTAGGCTTGCAGGGAGCCAGCCAGGAATCCTGTCGCTCTGGGTGAGCGCCTGGGGATTGAGAGGAGGGTGTGCTGATGAGAGACGAAAGTCAATGACATCACCCATGGACACATCTTACAGTTTGCCCTTGTTTTCTAAGTCCATAGCATATGTGGAAAGTATTTTTTTTTTTTTTTTTTTTGCTCTCCTCCTTTCAGGGGAACGTGACCTAACTGTGTAGGCACAGTTAACTGCCAGGTGGACTGCGGAAGTAATAAGGGTGCGGTGTGTGTGTGTGATAGATTGAATGTAGGAAACGCATGACCGATGTGTAAATGTATGTGATACGTAATGTTAAAATCTTACCATTTTTCTAGATCCAGTCCAAAATACTGTTTAATGTCTACTGTGATCCAACCGTCCTTTCTCCGGGCAGTCCTGACCCTGCAGCCCTGGTTCAAGTCAGCACTTAAGTTAGCACCCTCTCTAAAATAGGGCTTGCTGACCTGGGATCCAAGGACCCTGGGGAAGCCACATGGAGGCTGTGGGACCCTAAAAGTCCCAAAGCTCTGTGTGCCACCCTGGGGCATGGACATGCCTGCCTGTGTCGGGAGAGGTCCTGGGTGCCTGGGTCCCCACCACTAACCATCTCCAGGCTAACTGGCCTGTGTCAGACGCTCCTTGGGACACCCTCATGCCACCCACCAGCCTCGTGGCGTGGGACACAAAGGTGGTCCTCATGGCACAGAGAACAGGGAGGCTCCAGCTGTGTCAGAACTTGCCCAGTGACTAGGAGCAGCTAACTTAAGGCCAGAAAGGGGCAATGTGGCTTTTTAAGAGGGGCTGGGCCTAAACCCAAGAGAGTGGTTAGAGATCGAGCGGACTCGAGCTTGGAAACCTCCCCTGGTGGCTGGACTCCACTGTTTGGAGCCCCGTCTCGACAAGGTGGTACGTGTGTCACTGCTCTGCTTGGGTATGAGTGTTTTTCTCTGGGGCTCTTCTTCTGTAGTCTTTTCTTTAGAGCCGCGAGAAGGTGGTGTCTCTCTTGACGGCTCGTCAGGGTCTGGGCAGTGGTTCTGCCTCCAGTGCGAGCCCCTAACAGTCCCCCAGACCATATATAGACAGACGTCCCTCCTTTACAGTTTTTGAGATAGGACTTCGTCCAAACAGGTATTTGACACTTCATCTCACGGTGGGATGTGTTGGGAGGGCTGGGGGGGCCAGTTTGAGTTCCAGCTACCGTGTGACGTTCGTTTGCATGTGTTCAGGGAACAGCTGGGATGCCTTCCCCGTTTGTTTGACTTCAGCTAAATTAAAGTCTGCCCAAGTCCGGCGGATGCCTGGAACTGAGCCAGCGCGCTGTCCTCAAAGTGTGAGCTTGAGGAGAACTGCTCCTATTAAATGTCAAGTTAAGGAGATCAAGTTACTCTGTGACTCCCCTCCCCCACCCCCCGCTGTTTCTCTAATAGCAATTAAGGCATTTGACCTTCTGCACAAATGTCACGTTTTTGTTTATCTGCCTCTGCGGTATCCCCCTTGGTCTGGGATTATGGAAACCTTTGGATTCAGCCTTCACTTGGGATAAATCTGAAAGCAACGGGCATGGTTCATTATGACCAAGGTGTCTGGAGTCCCACAGATCTTGGTCACAATCCCAGACTCTCCGGTTCTTAATTCTGTGGCCTTTATCATTTGTACGATGATGTCACACAGTCACCTCTGGTTTCCGTAAGGATTAAACAGAATGTTCACAAGGGCTGGTTCCTCCTCCCACAAGATTTTTTTCGGGGGCCACGTCAGCAAGGAGGCCCTTGACCTTGACGGCCTCCCCTAAGAGTGCAGCCTCCTGGCCGCACACCAGCATTCCTAATCCCCCACGCCCTTGATTTTCTCCATAGCTCATATCACCCCCTACACACCATGCGTTTGACTTATTTATGCCTTCCTCTGTCTCTGCTCCTCAGAATAGTGAGAGCGTGCCCGGACGGGATGACTCTCTGCACCCAGTAAGCTCGGCGCGTATGTGTTGAGCCAGTGTGTTACTCAGCACAGAGCCTGACATATGGCGAGCGCCCACTGAGTCATTAGTGATATTAACAGTCATAAAAGAATAAAGGAGAGTGAAAGGGAGAGTTTTAAACAGTGGAAATCAGATGAACCCCAAATAATTCCACCATGTTTATGTTCCTCCTGGCCTGGAAAGCACTGCAGTTAGCATCCTTGTTGTCTGTCGTGTGGGACAGATACAAGGGGTCAGGGGCTCAGAGCCTTGCAAAAACAAAAACAAAACAAAACTCCACACATTTGGGTATGTCTTAATTACATTTTTATGTGTATAAAAAAAATTCTGCGCCAAAAAAAATACAGAGAAGCAGGAAGCCTCGAAAAGCTGCCGGGAGTGAAATCCTAGATCTGACATACAGGAAACCCTTAGAAATTAGAAAGTAGAAGCCCATGCTGTCCTTGAAATACAGTTTCTCCAATCCAAAAAAAAAAAAAAAAAAAAAGCTTCTCTACCTCATTTAATGTTACTTGAAATCTCAAATAAGCTATCAAGACCAAAAGTAAATTTTAAAAAACTGATGGGAATTTTGAAAGTGCTCTTTCGGACCGTTGGTTTCTTCCCTCTCCTGCCTCTGGGAACCTATTGTTACTGGCCCAGCAAAAGATGATGCTGGAGCAGCCTGGGAAAGATCCCGATACATGTGCACTGAAGGGGGAGCCAGCGGGACACGCTAATGGATTGGACGAGGGGTGGCGCGCCAAGTTTTATGCTAGAACGAAGGAAAAGACGGGATGCCTTTACGTGAGATGGGGGAAGCTGAGTGGAGCCGCTGTGGGGGGTGCACCCGGAACTAACGTGTGCACGTGTTCCATTCCAGACACACTTCTAGATGGATGTGTGTCTGGTGTGCAGGAGAAAGGCCTTGGTGGCAGTGTGAATTTGGGAATGGTCTGTGTGCAGATGGTGTTTAAAACCATGCGTTGGACGTCATGTCCAGAGAACACAGACAGAAATAAGGAGAGACCCAAAGACCAAGCTCTGGTCCACCATGGACATTTTGGCTGTAAATGTGAAGCCGGCACTAACACTTGGAGGATGGTCCAACATGGTAGACCGCTCACTGTTTCCTGTGGGCCATGAGAAGTGGAAAAGTACTCTTGTTGCCTTTTTAGAGTAAGGGTATGACAAAGCCTTGCCAGCACCCAATGCAGAAGGGTTTTGTGGTGTTTGTTTTTGGTTTACATTTGAGCGTGTGTTGTTTTGTTTGCCTCGCGATGTGTCTGATGGCAAAGTCCAGCCTGGAAATCAAGTGCAACCCAAGAAGTTTATAGAATATCGTTCTGTCTGCTGGGGAAAGCTGGAGCTGGTTTGCTTTAAAATTGTTTATAGAAGTAAAATCAAATAAACCTTCAGGGGGAGAAACCTTATTATCTTGTTTTCTTCTTTTCCCTGTCAGCCAAACACCATTCCTTCTCATTTATTTATTCAAGTTGCCGAAAAACGAGAGGTTCTTGGAAAAAGAACAAATTTTGCTCAGGTTGCAAGAGTTTAACGATCAGAAAGTTTCTCTCTGTGTCACCGCCCTCTCCTTTGATCACTAAGTTTAAAAATGAAGGGTTTTGAAACATTTTTGAGTCTAACACTGGAACACTGCTCCTGAGAACCGGGCTGTCTCAACTGCATCCCACAAAGGACCCTTCTCTCAGAGAGAAGTGTGTCCAAGCTGCCCGCCTAATGGATTCATCTGGCAGGCTCTAAATCGGGAAAACACTGTTTTTACTCAGTCCATAAATTAAGAGTTGTAAGGTTTGGTTTGGTTTCCTTCAAGATCATCACCGAAGGGCTGTGTTTTGAACCAGTGTTT